TGTGCGTCGGCCGCCCCGCGGCCTTCCTCAGTCGCTGGGATGGCGGCAGCGGGCTTAGCCCTCCCCCCCCCCAGGTTGCCGAGAGCTGGGGGGGTTGCTGGGCTCTGTGTGGGAAGCTCAGCCCCGTTAGGTGTCCTGGGGCCGCTGGAGGTCGTGGGGATGGCCGGAGAGAGGCGAGGAAGGGCTGGGGGAGATGGTGTGTGAGGGGAGGCCCTTGCAGCAGAGCCCCTCGCTGGTGAGGTGGGAGTAGCGTGGCCTTTTCCATCGGCTTCCTGGGGCAGGGACGTGCAGCTTGGTCTGGCTCTAGCAGGGTGAAGGCTGTGCCGCTTTTGGGGGGGTCCCCTGCCCCCCACCCCCTGCACCCCAGCAGCTCCTGGAGGAGCCAGCTTGATTTCAGCGAGGGGAAGATGTTCGGCTGCTTTAACAACCACCGTGAATACTGCTACACTCAGGTCTTTGTTGCAGTGGGGTTGCTCTGGGGGCTTTGCCCAGCAGGTCGCCTCTCCCGGAGCTCTAGAGTCGTCGTTTCGTAGCCCTAATCTCATCGGTGTTGGTGTGATGTCAGTTTGCACCGTGTAGAGCTGTGTGCCTGCAGCTGCCATCATCTAGGTGGTTTTGTTGTGTTTTTCGGGTGTCCTGCGGCTTGAGAGGACACGCAGAGAAAGCTGCTTGTCTCCTTTATGGAGTGGCTAAAGGTGTAGAAGAAAATAGTTGTGTGAATGATTGTGTTCAGACAATTAAGTCGTTCTTGCAAGAAATCCCCATTGCACGCACAAAATGCCCTCAAAAAGATGTTTTCATCAATGAAAAAAGTCACTGATACTGAATGTCAATGCCAGTTGTACCATTTAAGTGTATGTCAGGTGGCTGTTTGCTGCCATTGATTTTTGTTCTTTTCTTTCAACTTCAGGAAACTGAGTGTTAAACCCATAACAAATCCTCAGTATTTGGATAATATGGGGAATCCAGCTGTTAATGGACTGTACGACTTGGCTCTGGGACCTCCGGACTCCAAAGAAGTGTGTGAAACTTGCATGCAGAACTTCAGCAACTGCCCTGGTCATTTTGGCCATATAGAACTGCCTCTGACTGTCTACAACCCTCTGTTTTTTGACGTATGTTATGCTTAATTATTGCCTTGCTGTTGAAATGGGTGATGGTGCTCAAGACTAGTCCTTGAGAATCATGAAGGTGCCGAGATCTGAATTTTATCTCTTAAGTGTAATAACAGCAGATGTAGTAGAAAATCTTTGTTGTGTCATGATACTTCAATGCAAATAGATTACTTAGACTTTTGTAAAATATACACTTTGTTGTAGCTATTATTTTATTCAGTATTGACAAACGAGGAGAAATATTGATCACAGAACTCTTTAAGACCTAATGCATGGTCTTGTGCCTTAATTAAATGGGTGGCACAGTGAAATTTATTAGTTCTTTTAAATGGCTACTACAAGCTTACAGGAACAGCTGCTTACTTTTATCCTCCCTGGACATTCAGGGCTTGTCTTAGCTCTGAATAGCTGTGTTTGTACATTCTCCCCAGTAGGTCCTCTCTTACTCCAGAGTAATTTATTCCAGAAAACTGGATTGGTGTGGATAAGACACAACAACCTATCCAGCATTATGCTGTGTCATAGTGTGTGTGTGTGCTGAATAAATGAAATTATATAGTAAGTTTGGCAGCAGCAGGGAGTTGAAAAATGCTAAGCTCTACAGAAGTCCTTTTTAATAAAAAACAAGAAGGCTGTTAAGAAGATTTCCTGCATCTGGAAGTCAGACACCTGTGCCTCTCATACCTTTACAGCTGTTGGATGTACATGATAAGTGAAATACCTGATGTAGAGCAGAGATTTGACTTGGAGTGCATCTCTTGGGATGTGTTAAAACTTGTTTCAGAAGCTACTGGTGGTTGTCAAACTGCACGTTTCCTCTAAGTGCTTCATGTGGGTGTTTTTTTCAAAGGGTCATATTTTAAATATAAAAGGATTTCTGGCCATAGGGGTAGGATTTGCCTGATTTTGGTCCTCTGAAAATTAGGTGTGTAATCTGATCAGTACTTTTTAGCTCTTTCCAGAGCTATTTGCAGAGGAAGAATCATCTCGCCTGTATCAGGAATCTGAGCTGGGATGAATTTCCCTCCTGTGGTGCCAAGTCTCCCTATTTACAGTAGCTGGCCCCTGCATAGGCTACTAATTGAGCCTAAAATTCCCACTTTCAGATGACTGAAGTTAGGTGAAGTCCATCCCACTTCTAGTGCTGAGCCACCTTTAAAGTAAAACACTTCTAAGGAGTAAAAATCATGGAGGAGGAGTTCCTAGCCTTCAGACCACTGGTGCTGGGAGAAGCTAGGGCAAGTTGTGTGCAGAGCTATGCTGAATAATGAAAACACTGATATTTTCCCAAAGCTTGAGGAGAATGTGGTTGCATGAAGAATCTTGAGGGACATTGGTAGTTTTGATTTACTTGTAGCTTGTTGCTACTTGGGTAGCACATGGTCCTTTATGGGACAAATAGCAGTGCTGTGTGAGAGCAGTCTTGGTGCTAGACTTGCTGTAGTTATGATGGGCTTTTCCTTTCTCTGCTATGTTTGCAGATCACCCTTTGTATGTGAATTTGTGTGGATGAAAATTTTTGCAAATTCTTTACTTTTTAAATGTAACAATTAGTCTAATTTCTTAATTACAGTAGTGCTTTTTTAAGTTTAGACAAATCTTATCTACCTGCATACTATGTAAACTAGTACATTTAGCAGGGTAACATCTTTTTACCCCTTTTTTTTTCCAGAAATTATACCTTCTAATTCGAGGTTCTTGTTTAAATTGCCACATGCTGACATGTACACGAGCTGTGGTTCACTTACTCCTAAGCCAGCTGAAGGTTCTGGAGAAAGGGCTGCTTCATGCTGTCCATGATCTTGAAGTCATTCTGAACAGGGCAAGTACAGTGTATTTCTCCATTATTTTTTTGAGTTGATAGCCCTGTAGTTATGCAGCTATCCCAATTTCTTTCATTCTCTTTCTTCTAGTATTTAGAGCAATGTGCAGATGCAACAGGTTCAGAAATTGAAGAAGAGTTAAATCACCATGTTCAGGAAATACTGCAAAGTCATCAAATAAGAGATCAGTGTTCAAATGTAAGTACAAGCAGCACTTCTCCTGAGATCTCAGGAGATCTGTGCTCTTAAAATATCCTTTTAAAATAGTAATGTGGGGATGAAAGTCTGTCTTTGACTGTGTAGACTCTAGATTTTATCCTGCGAGTTCTGAGCTGTTCTCTACCTAGAGGGCTTTCTGGGTGTTTAAAAGATTTTATTTCTTGTTAGTATAACTCCTAGGTTTCTGGAAGACACACTTTGTGAAGGGAAATGTTTTGATGGTGTAAATAATAGAGTTGATACTGTTGTCAGTACATAGCTTACAAACCTTGGTACTTC